GGTGCCATTGGGAGGCCCACTGTGTTGGAGGTGCCATTGGAGGTCCATTGTGTTGGAGGTGCCATTGGAGGTCCACTGTGTTGGAGGTGCACTGTGTTGGAGGTGCCACTGGGAGGTCCAGTTGGCGATGCCTGGTGGGCAGTCACAATTTGGGTCTAGAGAGAAGGACCCAGCTTGAAAAGCAAGAAGAGATCCCCCTGCATCTGGGGGCAGGGGCAGCAGGACAGCACCAAGAGGTGGAGATTCAGCCACAGAGCTGACAGAGCCAAGGGGGAAGAGAACATGATTCGGCAGGCAGCGCTGGGGAGCCACACGAAACACTCAACGTCCTTTAAATGCCAACGATGCTCCTCGGGTTTCCATGCCAAGCCTTCCTCCCTCTCATTCCTCATGCTCTTCCTCGTGACTGTGGCCTCCTCTGTGTCTCCATGCACCACAGAGACCAGTGATCAGTCACGTGTGTCTCCCAGTTCTAGCTCCCAAGCTTCAAAGCTTTCTCCTGGGCGTCTCCACATAACATGATAAGGGTATCTTGTTTTTGTGTATTTATTTATGACAAATATTCACTGATAAGGTGTGCGTCAGGTTCTGTGTTTCAGGCACAGGGAGAAAGAGGGTAAAGAAGGTTCTCATCCTGAAGAAGCTTGCGTTCTTGAGCTCATTACATCCCAAAATGAACTCACCATCTTCGCAGGTGCCTTCCACCAATGTTCCCCATCTCAAGAAATGCCACCTCTATCCACCTAGGTGTCCCACCCAGCGACGTGGCGATCAGCTTTGACATCTTCTTTTCCTTCATGCCTCGCTCCATTTCTCCACCTAAATATCCCCCGAGTCCCTCCCCAGCCCTCCCTTCCCGGGGCACACCAGTGTTCACCTGGTCAAGATAGCAGTTCCCTAACTAGTCTCCGCCCCTGGCTTTGCCCCTCTCCAGTCCTTTCCCCTCCTCTTGCCTGAATGCCCTCCAGTGGACTGTCTGTGCCCTCGGGCATGTGCAGCCGGGCACAGTCCACCCACCTTGGCTCACCACCTCTTCTTACCTCCCTTCCCGGCCCCCTCCCTCACATGACCTCTAAATCCCAGCCACCCTGAGCTTGTTTACTTCCCTCCCTCCTGACCTGAGCTCTGCCTGAGCACCCTGACCATCCTCACCCTGAACCTCCACGGCCCAGCCTAGATGGTCTTTTCTCCAGGACATTTTGCTGAACTCCTTAGTTGGGATGAGATCCCTTCCTCATGGGATTGTGCCACGAACCTCCCCAAAGCACTTCCTTTGGGCGAAGTGTATGTCCGTCTTGTTTACTGTCGCATCCTCACCCCCGATACCATGTCTGGACACCACACTCTGTTATTCATAGAGTGATCGAATGGTCAGGAAGATAAAGCTGTAGGGCCAGTGTCTAGCGGAGGGAACATCTCAACAGAACGACAAGAGCAAGTGTAAGAACACCGGGGGTTCCAAACCAGTGACATGAAGGATGCGGGAAGTTTTGGTACAGACACATTTTAAGACACAATAATTTTAACCACAAAGAACTATCTAAGGGAGCAACTTGAAGGTGTGGGAGTCTTTTGTTTTACCTCTTTCATTGGAGAAAACAAAGATGATAAACTTAAGATTAAAAATGTTTGAAATCACCATTATGTGGGTTGTTAGGGAATCAGCCAGAATGTATTTTAAAAATTACAGCCGTATGTTTGATATCGATCGCTGTGGATGACCACAAACTTAATGACTTCGAGCAACGCAGTTTGCGATCTCAGTTTCCCTGCGTTGAGAGTCTGGACATGGTGTAACTGGACCTTCTGCTTTAAGGTCTCCTACAAGGTCCCAGTGTCACCCAGGACTGACTAAAAGCGTCTCTGAGGATCAACTAGGGAAGTTTTGCTCCCTGGCTCCCGTGGTTGTTGGCAAGATCCAGTTCCTCAAGGGCTGGGGACATCGGCCCTCACCGGGCCAGTGGTCAAAGGTCACCTCAGTTCCTTGACACGCCAGCCTTTCCAGGCTTGCTTCATTACAGTGTGAGAGCTGGGAAGGTAACAGAGGGTCAGCCAGCAAGATCAAAGACGCAGTCCTGTGTGACCAGGCATGGTCACCTTTGCTGGACTGAACAGTTAAAGTCTCAGCTCTAACACCAGAGTGTGAACACGGAGATACGGGGATAAATGGCAGCCTTCTAACATCCACTCCACGAGCTGCATAGCAAGAATCTACTCACTGAATGTAAGGACCGCTCTGAGGATGGGATCACTGACATCCCTGGAACTGGAACCTGTTACAGGGGTACCTTCCCTGACCACACCCTACACACCTCCTTCCCACCACTCACTAACTTTTAAAAAGTGTGTGCTACCTTCCCGCCTTTATTTCCTACTTTACCTTTTTAAAAATTTGCCCACCAAATGATTCTGATACAAGTGATCTGTAGACCATATTTGGGGAACTCTTCCCTGTTTATTTTCCCTGGATAACCTCCAAACTCACGGCTCTGATCTGTGAGCTGCTGACCTACAATCAATTCTATATCCCCAGCTCAAATCTCTCTCTAGAATTCCAAGCTTCTCTATTCAACGTAGCACCTCTACCTCTCACCATTAGGATTATTCTTATTGATAGAAAATTCCATTCACATTGCTTTAAGTAAAAGTAGGAATCTCTTGACTCAAGTTACTGGACAATCAGGGGTGGCTCTAGAGTTAGCAGAGCCAGGGAAGCTCTGCTAAAGAGATTCTTGAGTGTTGGCTCCATTCTCAGAGCCCTTCCGGGGGTCTTGAAGTGGCCAGCAGCATTTCTAGGGCTACAGCCTCTCAGATTCTAATCCTCTAGAAAAGGGGAAGAAAATAACC